CTGACCTTACTTGGCAGACGTTTTTTTATTTTGAAACTACTACCTGACTAGTTTAAAAGTAGTGTTATTTAATTGATCGGGCATTGATTGATAATATGGATGTTTTTCGTCCAGAGAGATAAACCACCAGCCAACTTCATTTAGGTCAGTACAATCTTAATAATTTATTAAATCTTGTGTATTTCTCAAATCTATAACAGGTTTAAACAAGTAACAAAAAAAAAATCTGGTGCGGGCAACAAATAACTTTCCCTTACCCCTCTACTTTCAATAGAAATAATTTTCTGGCAATGTTGGAGTATTGAAAATTTTGAAGTGCATTTTCAACGGAGCTAAAGCTTAAAGCTTACAAATAACAAATCTAGTTTTATAAACCACATAACTTCAGTTTTTGGGCCTTTCAATTGACATAATGAATAACTATAATTTCAAGATTTTTTAGTGATATTTCTAGATGGAAAAGTTATATCTATACAGACAGTGAGCAACTTGATTTCAGAGTAGATCATTGCAATGTTGAAATATAGAACTGTGAATAAATGTATGAAGTTTGCCAATAAAAACATCACTAAAATAATAAAGAATTTTGAAATTGGAGATAGTCGTTCCGACAACCGAAAGGTTCATATATCCCTAGAGAGATTTGAAAGTACATCTGAATATTTAACATTTAATGATTATGGGTCGTAGGACTATTAATTATTAACTGTTATCTTCCATTATAAAATTTACTATAATGAAATTACGAGATTTTCGTTGCCTGACATGGATCGGTTGAAAATTGTCACACTAATTGTAAGTCGACAATGTTGGTATTTCACAAAGGGAAAATTCATAAAATTATTCACTCATTTAATTTTACTTGATGATTTTTTGGAAGAAAGGGCCAATAGATACCTTATAATTTAAATATAATATCATATCTAGAGTTATAAAACTACATCAAAAGTATTTATGATTATTAATATATACATAAAATATTTTTACATTTCACTTCTTCTTTCACACAAGTACAATTAAATAGTATTTTAAAAATGACATTGGCATGATTCGATGGATTTTAAATACTTTTTTTTAAACTTAGAAAAAAAACTTTAAAATTTTAAATTCAGTAAGAAAATTTCGCTTAATTTCATTGGAAACATGTGATTTACGTTAAGTAATGTTAGTTTTCTGAAATTATTATTTCTATTTTTTTTTTGTCACTCTGCGTTACTTTCTACACATTTATTTATTTAATATTATTTTTTCTAAAATTCTTTGCTTTCTAACGATATATTATACGTATACCTTCTGACTGTTATTTCCGGAGATTCATTTTCAACCTGGATAAGCGTTTTTCTTTTTTTCTCCAGTTTGCAATTATCATATTCTTTCAAACTTCATATTTAGCCATTTTTTATAGTTACTGTTTAATATAAGAGAGTTATTTTTTTTTTAAATAATCCATATCAAAGGTACTTTAGAGGAAGACGTATATAAATATTGGACATTTTAGCTCTGTAAAGTGACATCAATGGGGATAAGACATAAATGATATTAAAGACCGCTTAATTATGCAATGATGCACCGAGTTTAATCATAATCGTTAGAGCAGTTTTTGAGAAAATTATAAATATGTGTTTTTGAGCTAGGCTGTTCACTTACACACCGACACAGACTAACAGACAGACAGACCATTTTGCAGGACTTGGTTATTTGGACTTAGGGGACCTCAAAACGTGTATTTCCGTTGAAAACTCAGATTCGAAAATTTTCGTCATAGCAATATTTCCCTTTCCCTTTGTTATATATTATATACATAGGTAAGCGAAAGTAAAAACACCAATATATTTTTTTATAGTTTTGAGGTTCAGCCAATAATTTAATAACTATTTTGGGAACATTTCAAAATTTAATTTTTCTCATAATAAATATGAGAAATTGGTTTGATTATTTTTGTTGAGATGACTATTGACGTGAACCACTAGTGAAATATTACGAATCACTCCATTCAACACTAAATAACTGGGGACTTGACAATCTAAAATCAAAAAAACATCTATTTTTTAAACATATAATAAAAAAAATGAAATTATAAATAAAGGCATAACTTTATAGATAAATAAACTGTTTCAATTTAATTTGTTTTTATTAAGAAATTTTTTGCATTATACTTATTGGGTTTTCCATTACGTTTTTGCTAGTTTTTGAGTTTTTGCTACACGTTTTTACTGCCTGTTTCTAGGGATGACGCTTGTTTCTCTTTAACAAAATTGTATTACTTTTTAATTCTTAAAAATTTTGCTAATGAACATAAAATTATTTTAAAAATTTTATTTTATTTTTTTTTCTGTATTTCTTGCTTTGAAATATTCAATCTTCAATTGAAACCTCATTAATATATATATATATATAAAATTTAATTTTTTAATATATTCTAGAAGAAATTTTAATAATGAACTTTCGCTCTATTTTTCCTTATGTAAAACTTCAGATTTATTTCACATTATTATTTACTTCAAATGGCATATCTATTTAATATTAATTTCGTAGAAACGCATTTCTTTTATTGCCATATATATATATATCTTGGATAGTTATTATCTGTTCCTCAACCTTTTTAAATATACAATATACACAGATTTTTTTTTTTATCATTCGTGTCTTTAGTATAGGCAAAATTAAAATTAGCAAAAAAACGTAAGTATAATTTTTAAATGATTTCGAGATGAAAAAGAATATAACATATAATTATTATAATGTTCAATAATTATAATAGTAATATCTAGTAATACATTACTTGTAATATTTTGCTCTTCCGCAATTTTTTTTTCCATATAACCTCCTTTTTAATAATGGTTTTGTAATATTTGCTTGAGGTATCGTATCAAATAAAAATGGGCAATTCCTTACTTTTTATATAAATAATTCGGTGTTTTCCATATCTATATGAATGCTACAACCAAATGACTTCAACTGTAATTTGTATCTTTAATATTTTTCAAACATAACGCCGGCCCCGGCGCTATAGAATGTATCGCTGAGGCGTAACGCTCTCTATGTGACTGTTATAGTGGAATAGATAGTAATACAACTGTGCCGCTATATCGCCGCACTAAATATCGCGTTCTGTGTGTAGGAGCCTTTACAGACTTCTAAATGATAAGTAGCGGGTGGATTGATGGTGTCTCACCTAAGCTACATTCTTCAACAATCATAATATGCTATATCTTTTTAAATTATAATTCATAAATAACTATTAAATACAACCATGTTTTATAAAAAGATATTTCAAAATTATCTCTAAAAGGCAAATAAGTCCTTTCGGTTTTTCTATTTATTTTTATGTCACTATGAAACACTTCTTATCTGAAGATTTAATCCCTAAGGTGGATTGTTTATCCTGTTTGTAATATGTTAACAACTATATTTGTTAACTCTTGTTGGAACTGGCTTAGTATTGTTTGCTATTGCACTGTGAAATTGCAAAAAAATATCATTCATTATCGTCATATTTCGTTGTATTATTTTTTTTTTAAATAAGCGTGCTGCAGAAGCTCATAGAAAAATTTCCGGTCTGGTCGCCCACATGAAATTGAAACGAGCAATTTTTTGGCCATTTGGATCAAAATCTCACCTAATCAATGCGAGGGATTCCTATGGCCCTAAATGTGTCGCACACGTTTCGAAGCGTTGAAAACCATTTGCACAAGCTCGGCGGTTTTTCCAGGCTTAATGTTTGGGTCCCTCACTCTCTAACCGATTTAGCAATACACATTTCTGTTTGTGATTCACTACGGAAACGGCAATAAAACGACCCATTTTTGAAAAGGTTGGTAACAGGAGAAAAATGGATATTTTACGATAATGTAAAATTTCCGTAAAAAATCTTGGGGACCTAGTAGTGAGGAATGTAAAAACCCGGATTCCATCCAAAGAAGATAATGCTTTCCTTATGGTGGGATTTCAAGGGTGTTATTTTCTATAATCTATTTCCGTCAGGACAAACAATTGATTCAATTCTAAACTGCTCACAATTAACAAAATTGGATCAATCAATAAAAAATAAACCACCAGAACTGGCAAATCGGAAGGATCCAAGACATCGCTAGGCCCACACCTCATTGGTCACTCGCAATAAATTATTGAGCGTTTGATGAGACCTTTTACCCCACCCTCCCTATTCACCAGACCTAGCTTCAGGTGACTACCACTTATTCCGGTCTCTGCAGAACTGCATGAATGGAAAGAAATTCCAACAGGAAGGGGGCATCAAAAACTTCTTGGATCAGTTTTTTAGCTATAAACTCCAGACATTCTAGGAATAAGTTAGTTGAAACATGGCGACCGTTATATTAAATAACGGTCAATATATTGTAGATTAAAATGTCTATAATACATTGAATTTTATTTCACCCTGAAAAACCGAAAGGACTTATTTCCAACCCAATAGGATTTTAAGAGTCACTTAAACACCATTTCATAAAATTAATTAGGTTCTTTAAAAGAAATTATCGTTATATTTATTTTTTAAAAACAGTTTTCAGGCAGCAGCCCCCTCCCCACAATTGAATCCTGGATCGGCTACTATTCCCATTTCCCATTTTTCCATTTCCATTTTTTTATTGGAAATGGAGAAATAAAATTAAAATGTCCAAGGAGTTTTTCTTTATTTTTACATAGGATCGAAGAACTATAATTCAGCCTTACAAATGATATAGTTTCATTGAATCCAAAGAAAATCCTGAGGTATAAAGATGCTTTAGATGATGACGAGAAAATCATATGAAAGAAACCTTACAATGATACTGATGATATGACAAGTCTGACTATGTAAATTTGGGTTCGACAAGCCGTTTATTTTTATGATTTTAGGTTATATCGTGTCTTATTACATGCCTATTTGGGTTTCGCCTTAATCGTTTAAAGAATGACGAGCAGCTTTATTTTAGATTAAGATATATTTTTTAAGTTGAATATATTATTCACAACTAATTTGTAACCTATGTAAAAAAAAGGATCCGCCAGATTCAGTGCAAATCTTCAGTATGGTAGATATAAAGGCTATCCTCCAGCGCTTTACTACATTGTACCTACCTGTTCTACCACTGCTAAGGGAAACCATTCTTCCAAATGTAAGGTTGTGGATGTATTGGCACGAATGTAAGCCAGAAACATATCCTATGGATAAAGAAATTGATATGTGTGGAATGAGAGTTGAACCTGATATTTATACGGGCCGTTCTGATTGGGATCCGTGGGACATCATTCCAAAGAATGAAGTATTAGAAGAGAAGCAAGATAGCACCACCTATGTTTACAAAGTTAATAAATTAGATTTTTCTGATCTAAGAGGTCTGGACAACTTTGAACTATTTGGTGAAGAAGAAAATACCGAGGGTCCAGAGGAAGAGGTAGAGGAAAAAATTAGTAAACGGCAATCAGATAAAAATGAAGAATCTGACGAAGAGGAAGAAGATAAATCCGATAATCAGACTGAATTTCAAGATACAGTTGACTAATTAAGTATACACATGTAATTTATTTTTCAAATAAATCAAATGTTCAATAAAATTTGGTCCGATGTCAATTTAACAGTCAGATAGTATCTTAAATTTATACGTCTAAACAATTTAACTGATACTACAGCTATTCTCACATTAATATTTTATTAATAAAAATTCTTTAGAGTCTCTTTCAAAGATCCTTAATCATATATTTACTACGTGACATAAAATTAGTACCAATATCTAAGGAGGGCTGAAGTTATATTGATTTTTACTTATATCACCTTCTTGAAGCCTAAGCTAAAGCTAAAATACAATACTGTTGAAGAAATCAAACATACAAGTATTCGACGTAGGAAGAAGAAGTTGAAGTTTTTGCTTACATTTTCGAAGTTTTTCCTTATTTAAAGAACGAAGTCATTTGTTTCGAAGTATTTGTGATTTTTTTGGTAAGTTCTCGAACTATATAACTATATAAATCGTATCGTGGCTCACATCTAAGATAGTTTATTTAATTCAAAATATCTATCAATAACAATTTTAGTCATTAAACTATTTTATTTATAATCATATTTTCTTTCAAATGTTCCAAAGCACACAAATAATAATTTCTGGACTTTAAAGTGGATTTGAATTCGGAACAACATTTTTCAAAATATTGTTTTTCAAAAAAAAAAAAATTAAAATATCTCGAAATTATTGAAAACAAAAGAAATGTTATCTAAGTATTTTTTTAAACTCCAGTCGTTTTTAAGACATTTGCCATTGCAAAAAGGTACCAGACTGAGTTGGGTATAGTAAGAGGTATATTTTTTTTCGGGACAACTCAGCGAGACATTCCTTCAAGATCCTGAGGATGGCGCCAATGTCTTGAAAACGGCGTTGAATACCGATTTGTCTTATACTAATACCGATATGTTGTAAATCGTATCCGATATTATTTAATGACTTGAAAAGGAAGGAGAAGAAATAAAAGGGTTTCAAAGAGTATCCGTAGAAAGTTAATTAGAATATTATTACAAATATGTCCTATCACACGGCATTCCTACAGCATTGCTGCAAAATCCAATTACATACTATAGATTATAATCTTTGAGTGAAAGCCGATTTCAGTACAATTGCCCGATCTCAGATGTAGAAGAATACCAAACTGACTTGGATATATCGAGAGATATATTTTTTTGAGGGACAACTCAGTGAGGCATTCTTCAACATCCTGAAGATGGTATCAGATTTTTAAAACGATTGTGAACAACATAGATATTGGTATCAAGATCCAGAAACTATTTGCATAGAATCGGATGACATGCAGAGACAATATTTCCGGAAAATCACAGCAGTTTTGTGTATATATTTCTTGAATCTATGTTGAAAAATACTTTTAAATATAAGAATTACATAGTATATTTTTTGGGGGGTTATATTATATCATACTGCATTGTTAAATTATGAAATATTATTTATGTAATATAAATTACGTCATTTATTACATTATTTTACCTCTTTTTTTTTTGGTGGAGGGTCCTCCCCTTATTCGCGGTTATGATTATACGGGGTTTTCCCGGGCCAGAGGGTGTGGGCGGGGATTTAAAAAACTCCTTGGCACCGGGACGCGAACTCGTGACTATTTTTATATCATTTATCATATATCAGGTTGCCGGGCAACGATAGTGCTGTGCACACGCGTTAGCCCATTCGGTCAACCCGTACTACATTATTTTACTATACAAAATCATATATATTATATTGTTACAGTATATTTACGATGAGTTAAAGTGGCTATTCCTTTCTTTCCGCAGACAATATTTCCTTGGATCTTTCCAATTTCAAACGATCACCACCCCACACCCTTCCTACATCTACAGTCCCCTACAGTTAAAACCCGTGGTCCACTTTCAGAAAACAAGATCCCCTGTTTCCGACCTTTATATCCCTTCCCATAGAACTAAGACATCTGAATATTTCTTTATTGTCCGATCCACTCCCTTATAAATTCCTTGTCATCTGATATCCGCCATAATTCTTCCTTGTCCTCATTTAAATATCATCTCTACCAATTCCTTCTCACATCCCAAAATGACGTTGTACAATGAAATAAATATTGTGAAACAGATTTTGACTGAGATGAATGGTTGTTGAAATTGTTTGAGTTCTAATTTTAAAAATCAACCTATGCTTATATTATTTTGTTATTTATTTTTTACCTGATTCCCATTTGTTTTTTTCATTTAAATAATGTTATTTTATAAAAATGGTGTTGTTTTTTATTTATTTTAATATACTTTTACTGAAGATACTGTATATATTCTTTAATGTTGATTAATGTAATTTTTGGCCAGATGTAGTTTTTATTTATTTGTTCATGATTGTTATTCATAAGGGACCTCGTTCCAGAATAAAGTTTATTTTCTATCTATCTATCTACCTATCTATCTATATAACAATAAATACTTTGAAAAAGTTCTATCCTATTAATCTTTAAACTGCGCTGAATTATTTTAAACAAACCGCGATAAACATAAAACAGCTATATTTTTTTATCACCAAAGCCTCCATTTTCGTAATGATTTGGAAATTTAAAAGTGTTTGAAATCAAGTTAGACCGTATTTTTTAATCCATTACTAGGTTTTGAGCATACCTATAATGTTTTTTGTTTTTTAAATTTAAATTATTTTATATTTAAACGCTAATTTCTATAATTACCATTTACAACCAATTAAAACTTACAATCATTTCAATCTCGGTGTTCCCGAATAATTTTTTTTCCCAAAATCATAGAGTAGTGACGACTCTTAAATTCTAACTAGAAGTTTAATAAAAGTCATTGTAAAAATTAGTAGGTTTCAAGATTCCGACATTAGATCCATGGATAATAATGAGGCAAACTGCGCTCAACAAAATTCATTTCGATAGCCTCCTATGTGACAGAGTTATTATGGGATACTTTTTATGTTTCTTATTAAGTTTTTAAAATGCTGATAAATTTGATGCTGACGATGTAGGTTTTATCATTTTAATAATATTGTTTCTAAAATTACTCCACTTAAGCCAGGAGATTAATAAAATTATTTGCCAAACTTTTACATTAGAGTTGGTGTAAATCTTAATCTTAATCTTTAGATAAAAAATTAATCATAAAATTTTCAGACAAAATAATTATTTTTATTGGTCTTCGTAAGCTGCACATAGAGGAAATATCAATACTTCCTTAAATCTATACATTGTTCCTGTAAAAAAAAAAAGGAGAGTAATTAAAATGTACTACTGTTCATACCATTAATTTATCTTATTCATGAACACAGATTGTATTTGAGTGAATATACATATTATAAATACTAGAAAATAACATACACGTTCATAATTCCTCCTCCACTAGAACTCCATGAAAGATTTGTACATTTATAATTTTTTATAAGTTCTCATACTGAAAATATTGAAATATACACCAGCACACACACAAGTGCATTAGTTACAAGGTTTCTAAAAAAGATCATCAATCAAATTCACTGATCTCTCTCCTACTCCCTCCAAATAAACAAGTAAAAAAAAAAACCCTGTACCACTAAAACCTATGAAAGGTTTTGGGTTCAGTTCTATTTAAGGAAAGTGCAGTTTCAAGGCCAGCGGCTTTGCAGGAAGAGGATCGGGCCAGGATCACCACGCTCAACCGCCAGGTCTTCCCCCTTAACCAATTATTTAATTAAGGGTAGCCACTTTATAGAGGCTGAGTGTGCCCCAGGAGGATCCTCCCTATTCCAGGGTTACATTACACCCAATGAAACAGAGGAAATAATTTTTCTGCCATGAGCCGGGATTCGAACTTGGACCTTGAGCATTGGAAGCTTAGTGCCCTTCCACTGAGCTACCCCACTACCTCCTTAAAGAAGTAAAAAAGAAGGTGAAATGTAATGAAAGTTATTTGTCAAAATATATTTATTAATAACTACCACAAAGACTGATGCAGTGCCAAAAAACGTCTGTTATTCTCTGAAGTTTAAAAATCATTGATGTCTTGCTCTATTCCAATATAGAAATATGGTCACTCCTTTAGGTTTCGATTTAGTTAAATCTTCAATATTAGGCCCTATTTTTATGATTGTAGAGATGTAATTTTTGAAAATAATTTACATCTAAAAATTATTCTCTCGCACATATTTTAATTTTATGTTGTTTTTTCGACATAAATGTCCATTTTTATGTCTTAGGAAACATAGTTTTTTAAAAGACATAAGTTTTAAGATTGCGTTATTGCCTATTGATTTCTTAGAGCTTCCTACATTACTTCCTTATATCGACTATCTGTTAGAAATCTACAATCCATATTCTACTGAAAACTAAAACCTTATGCTGCCCTACTTTTCCTTGGCTGACTGCCTGACATCTGAAATAAAGATCTTTGCAATGGAGCCCAATATGTAGTCCAACTTCTACATTGCTTAGCATATATAATATGTTTATACCTGCTCTCACATAGATTTATATTATCTTTTTCATTTTCTTCAATAACAAGTTCCATTATTATAAATTTATAAACCATAAATTAACCTATCATTATCCTGGTGAGAAAGTTCTTTCCTAACACTTATTTAAGTATTGTGAATAACTATTTTTTTATTTATTTATTTTTTTTTATTGAATATTAATACATTCAAGTTGTTGTCATTTAAGTCCAGGTATTTGGGTTCCATGTTAGTCTTTTGTCTTGAATAAAGCCAAGATACCGGACTTTTTGAGTAATTAGATTAAGTATTATTATTAGTGAATCGAAATGCATAAATGTTAACAGAATGCTATATAATAAATTAGTAGTTTGATTTTTATAATTTGATATAATAGATTTGTAATTTGTTTTTTCCTTGCCCTCTGGTTTGAAACTTTTCATTCCAACAATTCATAACTGTGCCTGCCTCGAAATTAATAAAAACAGTCAAAATATGCTCCCCTCAAAAATTTTGATGGCGCAACTTGCACTATGAAACTCTTTCTGGGTGCTACTGCTCGCTTCCCACACTTCACAGCCATCCTTTATCTTAGATTCCATAAATAAATTCCTCGCTGTATCTCAGCACTCTGTTCCGTTACTGTCTTCCCATGATCTTATCCAGAGTTCCTACAATATGCCAGTCCCATTTTTTTCTCCTCGAACCAAATCCTTCCGAAACCTTACCCTATGAATACCCTATACCCTAACCTATGAAGCCCTGTCACAGGATCTTGACGTTATCTAATGGGACCCCATTTATTTCTTATAATCCATTGACCCTATGGTAGAAACCCTTACCATTCATCTTCAAACCATCCTCAATTACCATGCTCCTCTTTTAACTAAAACCATGCGACATCCCCTATAAAAGCTCCTTGGCTAACACCCTCTCTGAGAGAGTGCATGAGAAGAAGAGAAGATGCAAGACGGCGGTTTAAACGTACTCCCGTAAGATTATATTGCCTTCAAGCTGCTTCAAAACAGCACAAAGTCTGCAATGCGCCATGCCAAATCTCTTTATTTCCATCAATCCTTATCCAACACCCCAAATTCCAAGGCCAAATGGGCTATCCTCAGAAAATTGATCATTGGTAACACACCTCAAACCCAGTCCATTTCCTGTTCCTCTGATGACCATAACCCTCACTTTGTTTCCTGTCCCTTCTCATACTAATCTCCTGTGTCCATTCCGGCTCCTATGTATTCTCCTTTAATCCTGATCACTTCTTTTTTTCTCACATTACCCCTGATGACCTCTTTAACTCCATTCAGCCAATGATTATCGATCTGAAAACATCCCAGTCAGACTGATTAAAGTCTCTTTACCATCCAATCCTCTACAATTACTCATTGCAAAATGCTACCTTCCCTAAATACTGGAAAACAGCACCAGTTTGCCCTTTGAAGAAGACTTCCAACCCATAAACTCTTAATGATTTCAGACCAATTTTTCTCCACTCAAAACTCTTGAAACCTTTAAAGTGACTATTTCAAACCAAGTTATCCCACTTTTAAGAACAGAATAATCTCCTAAATCTTTAACCAAGCTTAAAGATATCTCATTTTCTGCTAGTGCCCTTAATTGGTTCCAATTCTTTATCAGTCGCTCCCAGTATGTTGTAGTCCCTAATAAACTCCTCTCCCCCTCCCCCATCAGAATCTTTACCCTTGTCCAGAGGCATCCCTTAAATAATTCAACTGTCTACGTTATGTCCTTCCATACAAGTTCTGTCAATTCCTGGTTTCCTCTCTTGTATTCCCCACTTTGACAATGGCTGTCTGGTTTATCGTGGATTCTAGGAGAGAATTCGAAGCCAAACTTAAACGCCTAATAAATTGCTCAATACGTTTTGTTTTCAGAATCTCAAGAGCCTATAACCCAGCATTATACCAAGTTGAAGTAGCTCAATTCATCCAACCGCCATATGTACTTCCGTTCTACCATTCTATACCAGGTCATCAGAACACAGCGACCCTTCTATATTTTTCACTGCCTACAATTTAAATACTCATTCGATCCCGTCCCACTAGATCCCATACTTCCGACATCTATCCTCCTCCTCACCAAACTGCTGCGTCTGACAAATCTTTTGTAATCCAACCTATTTCCCAATCAGACTTATCATTAAATATACCTAAGAGAACTCTTTAAGTATTCCTATAGACTATTCCTGTTTACTTATGTTATTCTAGTATCCGATGTTTGTTTTATGTATATGTATGCTTCTTTTTTTTCTTCCTCATTCTCTTTCTACCTTTATTTTTATTTTTAGCCAACTATTATTTTGTAAATACTTAATTTATGTATGGCCACACTGGCAATTACCCTATAGTTATAATTTGTTCTAAAGGGACAACAATCCCAGAATAATAAAAAATGTTTTCATTTCATTTCATTGTATTTTCATCCTCTACATTAATTTGTATTGATAAATGGAATTTGATAAAAATGATAATAGACTGTTTGTACAACTATTCTTCAATTTGAGCGAAATCAGAAGATCCATTTATGAAATATTTAGGAATTTAATGCTTACCATAATGCTGAATCATTATTCTTCTATTTAAAATACTTATTTTATTTTCTTTCTTGAAGAAGGCCCTGATTCATATGTTGGAGTGAATTAACCATGGCAACTAATTTTCTAAAAGAAAAACATTACATTTAAGACAACTATATTATTTTTTTTTTAGAATCGTAAATAAATATCACATGGTTATTTAATATAAGGAAGTCTAGCTAGATTAACATTGAAAATATGTTATTCTTCAAATCGTATAATGGTTTAACTAAATCATTTCATTAAGATATTGATGTTTAATTTGGAATAATGATTTATTAATAAGAAAAAAAAACACAATCCAAGAACTCATTAAAACCATAACAATAAATAAAGTTGAGCAACAGAATACCTTCACAAAGGTCATATCTTCTCTCATTTTTGTTTATAAAATAGACAGAAATTTGTAGCAGTAACGCTAACTTGAGAAAATTAAATCGAATTTTCAAATCAATTGAACTGCTAAATTGCTTTCTCATGTTTTGTTTTTGAACATTTATATAATTTGAGAAGGAATTGATCGGGGGTGCGGTCAAATAAATACTAAATTATACAAATAGTATTATTTAATTTTTTTGCCGACGTTTTGACCCACTCTGCAGGTCATCAGGGCTACAAAAGATACAAAACAAGTGAAAATAAAATAAATGAATATAAGTAGATATAAAATAAGAAGAAGTTGTCTGATAAAGAAATAAAAAGATGATATCAGAGATATAGTGGCTGACAATGTAGTTAAATGTATATATATAATACTTGATATTTAACTACATTGTCACCCACTATATCCCTGATATCATCTTTTTATTTCTTTATCAGACAACTTCTTCTTATTTTATATCTACTTATATTCATTTATTTTATTTTCACTTGTTTTGTATCTTTTGCAGCCCTGATGAAGACCTGCACAGTGGGTCAAAACGTCGGCAAAAAAATTAAATAATACTATTTGTATAATTTAGTATTTATTTGACCTCACCCCCAGATCAACTACTTCTCATATTATAGCACGGTCAACCATCTCTACATCATTTATATAATTTTTTTTCAAATAGCGGTGGTGAAGGAAAATGTAGATATCGCAGATAAGACTTTTCTTTTTAATAATTAAAATATCCATGCTAGTTTAGAGAAACTGATTAGAGTAGTCCATTTTTTCTGTTGAATATTTGATAGTCTCTGTTCTAATTAAACTGTTTCTGTAAATCATCTTACTTTAAATTCCTTTAACATTGGTATGCCTTCAAATATTAAAAAGATGTACTGAATACAGAGCTCATTGGCATGTCAAAAATACCTCCAGTAATTAAGGTACATAAGGTAACTCCCCTTTTATCTCAAAAATCAACTAATAATAGTTATGATCAAGTTATTGGTTACATGTGGTACACCCATATGATGATTTAATTTTTTTTTAGTGGAAGGATAATATACATTCTGGGCCTGAACACAATGCATTTCAATGTTTAGGAACAAATTTTGAAATATTTCATAGTGTTTTTTCAATGAAATAATCATCCTTTACATCGAATCAATTGCAACAATTAGCAAAAGATGGGACATGTAAAGAGAAATAATTCATGATGCTGTCAATGGAATCATTGGACAGAAAACCTCTGACAAATGGATACCCTGGTTTGATTTAGAACAAAAACTTGCTACAGACGAGCACACTGTATACTGCATAATGACCCAGAGGAGGCACACCAGAAAATCTATGGAACATTATAGAAACAAAAGAGAGAAAAAAAGAACCCATCAGAAAATGAAAAGATCTTGAAAAAGAAGAGTTAGAAGAAATTGAGGTGTTTCAGACACAGGATGAAATAAGAAAGTTTTACCTCCATTAACAGATCCTTACATCATGATTAACAGATTCTGCCAGTCACTCAAGCTTCAATCAAATGTCAGTAAAGAAATAGATGGTTCTCTAATAACAGCATGAGAAAAAGTTATTGGAAGGTGGAGGAACCACTTTGGAAACCTCTTGAACAGAGATTCCATGGGAGAATGCACACCACAAGAGACTAGTATCAATGCTAAAGAGTTGGAACCTCCAGACGAAGAGGATATTATAGTACCATAGATCGGCTAAAAAATAATGAAGCAACAAATGTGGATGGAATACTGGCTGAACTCCATAACCTTATTTTAGACATCTAGGTAAAGGAGTGCATTCCTGAAGAATTGTACAAAACTATTAAATGCCACTATCATAAGAAGGAAGATTCTCTTAAATGCAAGAACTACCTAGAAATATCTCCTCTTATGTTTTTTTAAAGATATTTTATAAAATGATTTTCCTACTTTTATGAAACAATGATAGAGAGAACAGCTGAATACAATATCCAGAACCACCACCTCTTTGTAGATTTCTGAGCTGCCTAAGACAGTATAATTTGAGAGGAGCTTAGTGATGGAATTGCTCCCGGCATCCCTTTGATGATGAATGATTGTAAACACTACCCAATGCTAAGTGAAAGTGTACGAAGACACATCTGAGTTTTTCCATAGCCACAAGGGACTCATACAAGATGTGTTGGAACGTGTCATCAATAAAATCTAATTACTTAGATTAAAAATTTTTTAGTTATCACTTTCTATTTAACAAAAAATGTGACTTCCTTAAAAAAATCACAAAACTTTAATACTTAACTAACTTAAAACTATAAAACTTTCCTACTTTTCTGCTGAAAATCGGGCTTTGTATATATAAACTATTTTGTTGTTCTCGAGGTCTGATATCATCCCTTAAAATATTTCCCTCTACTTACAAGACATCTTGTATATTCCTTTCTTTTCATAAAATAAAAGTTTAAAAAGGTTAATTTAAGTCATCACGGTATGTTCAGTGTTTAAAAAGAAAATAAATTATAGTTAAGGCCGTAAAAACAAAAGATTTACTGTTTGACATAAAGAAGAACAACAAATTAAAATAAAAACAGTAAAAATTGAATTTTCCAGGTATGTTGACATTTCTATTTTATTTTTATATAATAATAAAATGATCAACTACTTAACAAGAAGATCGTAAAAATCATACCTATTTATTTCTAATGACTGCCAAAGTTTCATTTTGTAAGCTGCTTCGCGAGTGACTGCTGTAAGATGCTCGATATTGTTTACACCAACATATACTTGGTTATCATCTTCTTCATATTGGTCTAAATTGTCTGTCATTAGCATTGTACTCTATAAATATAAAATAAAATGTTATTATTAAATAGCAATCATTAGGATCTTGAGAAAAATTTTAAAAAATTGATTCTACAAAAATTTAACTAGGAATATATGTCATTTCATTCTTCGGCTTTGCAACACGCTAGGGAGTCATGGCTTCCTGGATCAGCCTACAGGTGTCATGGTCTTGTGCAGCACCTTTCTAGTTCTGAGTCCCACGAAGGCATCTTGCTTTGTGGACCACACTATTCTGCCAACTTAACCTTGGCAACCTGCCTGGCTTGGGTCTATAGATGCAATGTAGGATGCTCTTTTCAAATATTTGCAATGCACACATATCTGTCTTGGTCATCGTCCAAGCTTCAGATCCATATGACAGGACATATTAATACTTTATACAGGATCAACTTCATGGCTCTCGTGACAAGCTTATTTCTCAGCCTTAGGCCAAAAAAGAGGGAGAGGGGTAGCTCAGTGGTAGGGTACTGAGCTTCCAATGCTAAAGGTCCCAGGTTCGAATCCCGGTTCATGGCAGAATAATTATTTATTCTGTTTCATTAGCCTTGGAGCGATTGGTACCTTTAATCATAATAACTAATTAAGGGGAAAAATCTGACGATTGAGCGTGATCTCGATCAAATCACCTCCTTAGACTGTAGCACAACCGTAGACCAAGAAATAGTGCTTTCCCTAAATAGTACAGAACCTAAGACCCTTTATGGTTTGTAGAGGTACTGATTTTTTTAGGCCAAAAAAAAAATAAATCTGTTAGCAGTTGTGATCCAGCTCTTTACTTCGGCAATAATATCAATACCAGAGTTCACTAGTGCCCAAACAGCACACTCTCCCGGGCTCTGCTTGCTGACCAGAAACTGTATACTTGGTTTCATCTTCTTATGTTGGATTCGAGTTCCAGTAATGCTTCCTCTACAGCTACTTTAGATCTACCGATTATGTCCAGATCATTAGTGAACCCCAGGATTTCTACTGTTCGATTCATTGTTGTAGAGGTCGTCTGAATATTTGAGCTTAAAGAGGAGACTGGCCAGTACATTTCTCTGTTTTAACACCGACTGTGACCAGAAATTCCTCTGAATACACTTCCTGAATCCATGCTTTACTTTTACCTCCTCTCATCGTGGCCCAATATAGTCTTATAAGTTTATTGGGAACATTGCATTTCTCCATCCTCTGATAGATAGAATAGATTCTGTTATAATCATTTTTAAAATCAATAAATATATAGATAAACTCAATAGAAATAAGTGATACACAAGTTTAAAGAAAAATTAATATCAAGTTAAAATTTTGTATCAGAACTCTTTAGATCTGTACTTTTTACTTTGGTTACCATGGCACCAGTCTTTCTTATTTATTAGTAGGAAAACTGTCAAAAATAATGGAACTGAAAGGCAGATTTCTAACAAGAGAAACCAGGGGCCGAAATGGCCAAGTGGACTAAGGCATTTGTAATAAGTAATCAAACATCAACCATGGTAAGTACATGGATAGGTGCCAGTCCACTGGAAAAAGTTACACTACCTAAGATTCCCTCCCTCCAAGTATGAGACCGGTCAGCCATTGGAAGTAATTCATACCAAATGAATGATGACCCTATCCAGTATGCTTTAATCAGGAATTGATGCTTTTTCAGGATGTCAGTAGACTCCCAGAGGTTTGGTCCAAGAATTGTCTGTTTCAGAAAAAGGAATATAGTTCATCCTCGAGCATTATGGAAAAATGAGTAAAAATAGGGAAACTAGCCCAATATGTGGGCCCAATTTTTCAGCAGCTTTCTTAATTAAAATTATCTCTAAATGAAATATCATTCGCACTTGTACTAATTCCTATTGAGCCTTGAAAGAGATTTGAATATTAAACCCTTTACTGAGCATGAATTTAAACCATCTGCTTATATATGGATGAACTAAAGACGAAACTAAACAGTACAACCAGGGCTCCCTGATGTGGGTATACTGACAACGACTACAACACGTACAGTGACAATAAATATGTAATTCAATGATAAATAAATATAATCACTAACCGTTCTTAATTGAGTTTCAAGAAGATTGATAACTTCTTCTTTTTCAGTAAGGAACTTTTCCAACTGGCAGACTTTAAGAACAAGGATTTCAATAAATTTTTCTTGTTCTTTCACTACATTCTGAAAACGAAGAAATTATAAATTATAGAATGACATAGAATTAACTTAGGATTTAAATCCATACCCTACCCTTAACATATAGAGTTTTAATAATTAATTCTACGAAAATTACTGTAAAACATTAATTTGTAAGGAATTATATAATAATTAATTTAGAAATAAACAGCAAAATTCTGGTCTATATAAGAGTATCATGAAGCTAAGGAATCTCTGCAATGCCTATCTTTACCAGGATTTTTTTTGTAAACAGGAGAGACAATTTTTTTAATAATTCATTCTTGTTCCCATATAAAATTACGTTTTTCCTGTCATACTTCACCTTATGCCAAAAATTTACACAGAAACTAAAAAAAACATAATGTAAATAATTATGTTATATAATAAACACAAAGTTTAGGTTTTATTAAATTTAATTTTATGAAATGTTACTTTAAGACTTTTTGCTATAAATTCACAAGATGTGTGAGATACATAAATAATTCATAAAATAAAATAGCAATTGCACCAGAGATGGCTTAATTAGTTTCATTGAGGCTTTAAAATGAATAGTAAATTCATTAATTATAAAAAAAAACACAAATAATTATAAAATAAAAAATACATGTGATAAGAAATTATAATGCTTTCAAAAACATTGTCACAGGTAGAGTCGGATTTTTAGAGAAATGATTTACTCAAACAATTTAATAAAAAATAATATGGAAAATTATTTTAATTTGAATCAATTGCAATTTAAGTTTAAGTAAATTTGTAGGAATAAAACCAAACAGGTTTTGGAAAAACTCAGACCTACAGGAAAAAAATATAAAGTAATTCCTCATTTTTTAATAAGTTTTTTTGAGTTTCAACAAATATGTTCAACGTACTTCAGTTAGTTTTAAAAAATCGTTTAAAACTTACAAAACATTTTTAAGAGGCAAAAGGTTAAACTTGAATTTGAAAAATCAAATTGAAAATCATTATTTATTTCATGATTAATTTTAATAAAATGCCTGACTGGATTTCAACATCATGAATTGATAGGTTTGAAAGAAAAAAAAAAAAATGAATTTATATTATTTTTTTATTTCTCAATTTTTCCTCCTAAGGAGCCTGAATAAACATTATACAAAAAAAAAAAAAAAAAATAGAGAAAATAATACAGTGATATCATATTTTAAAAATTGCAATACTTAAGCTATTCCATTATATATTTTGGTTTGAATAAATCTGGAAAGTGTTCAATTTAAAATTTATTTACTACTCATATATCTTTAATATACAAACCTTAGTGAAACTTTCATGATTCATATTGTATTCATATCCGGACATTCTTTTCTCAGCCAAAAGTTGCTTTAAATTGGCAATAACTGTTTGAAAGTTACCCTGCAATATTCACATTACAAATTACAAATTATAATTATACATTTTAAATAACTAATTTACATATAACTTAATTTCTTGCATGTTTTGAAGCACACAGTTTGAAATTTATAAAACAGTAATTATTTAGATGAGAAATGCATATGGTATGCGTAGTTCACAATCACTTCAGTCACACTTGTTCATGGAATACCATATGCATTCTGGTTTTCTGAAAGACTGTTTTCAGAGTTCCATGAACAAGTTTGGCCGAAGTGATTGTGATTCAGGCCTAACCTGTGAGATCCTCATCTAAATAATAAACTACAAAATATTTCACTTGTCCAGAGGAAAGAAGTGTAACTCAAAAAATGTTTTTGTATTAAAAGAAACATTAAACATTCTTTATGATCTGTATAGAAGCTCCCCTGAGTGTTTTCTGTAACATGTTACTGGTGAATCCCCTATTGTTTCTATTAGTTTGGCCTGATATGAGATAACAACGATAGAGGATATTAGAATTTTTAATTCATGACTCTTTTATCCTAGATGTGTGATTTCTTACGATCTTAAACATATTTAAAGATATGAGCCCTGGTTCTACTTATTTTATTCAGAAAACATAGAAAGCATGCCTTTTTAAATTGTGAAGTGCTCTTGAAAAATTATTTGTTCAATTATTAAAAAGGTACATTCAATTACATGATAAAGAAGAAATAAAAAAAAAATGTTCTCCAAACATTTGATCTTGGTAACAGAAGCCAATACAATAAAAAATCAATTATTAAGTAGTTTTATTATTTATTTCAATGAGACTGGTCTAATGAGTCAGGCAATGGATTCCCAATAGCCCTAGAATATTGTCAATAAAACATTAAATGGAAGACAACATAATTATTGTTAGGAGATACCATTGAAGTCAATTTATCATGCAAGTGGGTGATAAACTCAAGTAATGGATGTTGTAAATTTAAATCTGAAAGATGAATGAATGTGACATGGCCATATTACTGTGAGGTCATTATACAACAGACCCTAACAATGGTGTTAGCCTCATTAGAAGGAAACTACATACAAAATTAGAAAATATTTCAATGTGACTAAACTAGTTAGGCCACATACTGATCCACTACAGTTTATTTTGACTACATCATAAATTTATAATGTAAAAAACCATATAAAATAATAATTACATGTTATTATTTAACAACTAATGGAAAACATAGTATGTGACATACATAATGAAAATAAAAATTAATGATATCAGTATGTTGGTATGATGAGCATTTTAAGTTTTAGCTATTTGGCATTAGTGAAGGAGACATTGTGGGCCTTAAAATTTGGTCAAATTTTGTTTCACCTGCATGCAAAGATGTTATAGTGTAAATAGTTATTACTGGTCATTAGCTGGATAAAATTGGTTTCCGTAAAAACATAGAACCTTATGTATTTTAACAGGTAAGCCCCCAGTGCCAAAGAGGTGGTTTATGGGATTGACATTATTTTCATGTTCAATTGCATTCAATTAACCTGTGACTATTTTCAATGACTGGGAACACACTAGTGTACTCATTCTCTCTCACTATTCAAGTGTTTGCTATACAGTTATATAGAAACCCTTACCTTGCCAGTCAAGTATTACTACAGAATTTGAGAACAAGGAGCAGGTGTCAGTTGTAAAATCACTTTCGCCATTGAGAAGTTATAAGTTCGTCAAGTTTAAGTATATATATATAATTTTTATTGGTTGGCACTAGAGACCATGAAGACCTTTGGATGCGAGATGTGGCCTCCTTACAGATTTCATTACTTGAAGGAGCACAAAGAGCCTGGAGGGAGTCACCCAACCTCAGGTTGCTACAAATGGTCTCCATGGTGCAGCGGCAGGCCACCCGTAGCTCCATAGCTGATCCCTTTGAAGGCAATCTGGCAGTTTCCTTCCCACTGAATCACTTAGGTTCAAGGACAGTCTAGATCCATGGATTATGGTAGTTCAGAGTCAGTAGGTGCACGAGGATCTATATTTCTTACCCCGAAACAGACCACCCATGGACCAAATCTTAGGGAGGCTACTGACATTGTGGTAGACAACATCCCGATTCCTGATTTAAGTACACGGAGTAGGGTCATCAGTACTTTGCCTGGTCGGTATGAGTTGTCTCCATTAGGCTGATGGGCCTCACATACCTGGTAGGGGAAAGGAAGTACAAGGAAGGGGAGGGGAAATCTCGAGTAGCGTGGCTTCCCCTTGTGGATGGTTACCCATCCAAGGACTAACCACACTCAACGTTGCTTAACTTTGATTACCTATTGCAAGTATCTTAGCCCGCATGGTTACCCCTGCTCCCCAACAATATATATATACTGTTCCTCAATTGATTCCATGATACTGCCTGTAGGTGCTTTAAACGCACTAGGCTGGCGCGTATAGTGGTGGTATAGTTTAGGGCGCTCCGCAATCTGACACAAACCACAATCCACCCACAAGCATTTTCATAGACCAAACCCTCTCCTAGGTAGTGGAGTAGCTCAGTGGTAGGGTACTGAGCTACTAATGCTAAAGGTCCCAGGTTCGAAACCCAGCTCATGGCAGAAAAATTATTTATTCTGTTTCATTGGCCGTGGGGCGACCCGGGGAAGGTAGACCCTCCTGGGACACACCCAGTCTCTATAAAGTTTAATTATAACAATTAATTAAAATAATTAATTAAGGGGGAAAACCTGGCAGTAGAGCGTGATTTCGGTCAAATCACCTCCTTGCACAACCGTAGATCAAAAAGCAGTGGTTTCCGTAAATAGTACTGAATCCAAGACCCTTCGTGGGTTTTACTGGTACAGAAAAATGGTAAATAAATTATATTTTAAAGGATGATGCTTATTGATTAATTAATGCAAGCAAAAATATTATTCACATACCTACACTGTGCGAACTTTATATAAAGTTTTATATATAGATAGATAGATAGATAGAAAGTAATTATTCTGGGACGAGGTCCCTTATATAACAGTTATGAACAAAAAAATAAAAACTACATCTGACCAAAAATTACATTAATCGATATTAAAGAAAATATACAGTATCTCAGTAAAAGTATATTAAAACTAGGAAAAATAACACCATTTTGGAAAAAAAAAAAAAAAAAATATTCAAGTGAAAAACAAAACAAAATTATGTAAGCACGGGTTGATTTTTAAAATTAAAACTCAATCAATTTTAACAACCATTCACCTCAGTCAAAATCTGTTTCGCAATATTTATTTCATTGTATAACATGATTTTGGGATGTGAGAAGGAATTGGTAGAGATAATATTTAAATTAGGACAAGGAAGAGGCATGGCGGATATCAGATGACAAGGAATTTCATAAGGGAGTCAAATGTCTTGGTTTTATGGGAAGAGATATAAAGGTCGGAAACACAGGATCTTGTTTTGTGGGAGTGGACCACGGGTTTGAACTGTAGCAGACTGTAGATGTAGAAAGGGTGTCGGGTGTTGATCGTTTGGAATAGGAATGATCCAAGGAAATATTGTTTGTGGAAAGAAGGGAAGAGCCACTTTAACTTATCGTAAAGGTAGGACACATGAGACCGCCTCGATGTACCGAAGACAAATCTTAAGCAGGTATTCATGAGTCATTTCAATCTATCCTCGAGTACCATTGGGATGCCTCCGTACACCACACAGCCATAGTCAAAGTGGGGGAAAATAAGAGAGGATACAAGGAGCTTGCATATGGGTCGTGGGAGTATGTGGAGGGATGAAATAGCTAAAGGGTAACTATTGAGTTACGGGAGATGAGGGCGATATGGGGTTTCCAAGAGAGGTTTTCGTCTATGGTGATTCCTAGGTTTTTAACAAAGGAGCTGAATGTGACAGGATGATTATTGATGACTAAAGGAGGAAGGAAGGAGATGGATTTAAGAATAGAACTAGAACCTATAATAATGGCCTGAGTTTTCATCGCTTTTAGATTTAAATTATTCAGACTTGCCCAGGCACTGATCCTATCTAGGTCCGCCTGAATAATGGCGAACGCGACTAGTAGCTCAGAAGAATGAAAGGAAAAATAGATTTGGGAGTCATCAGCGTATAAATGGTGTGAACAGTGGTAAATGGATTTGGAAAGATCATTTATGTAGGAATTGAAAAGGAGAGGGGAAATGTTTGAACCCTGGGCCACTCCAGAGGACAGTGTAAGGAAGGAAGATAGGGGTTGGTTTGGAATGCTGACTGCTTGAGCTATTCCTAATTAATTTCTGTTGTCCAGCTGATCACTTCTGGTGGATCAGGCAAATGATTCCTTTCTTCTATTCAGCTAGCACATTTACATCAAACCAAATCTGTATTTCATCCAGTATGCCATTCTTCTTCTCTTCTCTCACTATCTCCTGTGTGCTGCTAAGCGTGGAGTATCTGCCTCTGACCATCTTGTCCAACGGTCTCTATCCTGTGTAAGCCTTCTCATCTCCAGCATGGTGCTTCCTCTCGCTGCGCCAATTCTCTCTATCAAGTCTACATACATAAGCCTTGGCCTGCCTTGAGGTCGCCTTCCTCCCGGTCTTGCTTCTAGAAGCCACCTGGCCTTACGATCATCTCCCATTCTATTGACATGACCATACTGACTATACCACTTCAACTGCCTTTCTTCAATCGTCTGTAGGATGGATCTAACTCCTAGTTCATCTCGCACCCTTTCATTCCTTATTCGATCTCGCCTGGTTTTCCCCAATATTTTCCATAGGAATCTCATTTCTGCAGAGACAATCTTGCTGGAATGGCGGTCCAAGAGTGTCCAGCTCTCCGATCCGTATAGCAGCACTGGGAGAAAAACTAATTTGAATAGCAGAATCTTCGCTTTTCTGCTCAACTCCTGCTTTCCAATGAGTGTCATGGATATTTGGTAGTATATTCCATTGACCTTTTGGACTCTATTCATGACCTCCTGGTCTATTCTTCCATCCCTGCCAATCATTGTTCCCAGGTAGCAGTAGGGTCTCTCCATTGCAAGTGATTCTAAGATCCT